ATATATATATATATATATATATATATATATATATATATATTCACCGAAGCTTTCAAATGAAATTTTTGGCAATTCTCAAATGGGAACGTTGGTAGAGTAAGTGCCTTCAATTACCGTCGTCGTTTCTTCAACGGGTCGTATAAATTGATTCTTACATGCTGCGAACAATACAGCTGCGTCATATTGTCTTATATCACGTGCGTGTGGAGCTTATCGGAAGCACACAGTAAACACGTACACATATACGTACACACACTAGCGCATTGTGTATGAAAACGTTATTTTTCTATCAAATCACGTCCATAGAGTTAAATCTATAATGTGTGAAACATATCGATACAGTTGTAATTTAAAACGGCAATGGATATTGTTTTACACCGATGAAATATTACACTCATGAATTCGGATCGACGTGACGAGCGATCGTAAGATCATTGGTTAAAACCGAAATCAGTGTGTATACATTTTAAAACAAATAATACCGTGTATCGATATAATGTAAAGAAACGATCTCAAAAGGTCGTACACTCGGTCGATTTGCGGCGCGCTGTGATCTGTGAGTGCCTTGTACTGTGTGCGTATAACAATGTTACATCGCTGAAACAATGTAATGGTCGTCTGTAACAATGTGGTAAAATTTTCGACGTAGATGCATGCATATCTAGCGAATATTTCGCATGCGAACATATAATCCGTAACGCTCCGCTAAACAGCAGTTCTAATCTCAGTTGTGAGTCACGATTTATTATTGTTTTCATCAAATAAAAACGATACGCGCTATGTATTTCCATGTGGCGCAAATATCCCCACGAATATTTTTACGAAACGTTTCGCGCACAGAACCGTTCAATCGTAACTCTGTTCTTTCTTTTTTTTTTTATAACATTTCCGCGGCCTACTATAAGTTTCATTCTATGTACATCAATGAGATTCACGTGACACCTTTGAGCAGGAGCAAATATAAATTTCGAGCAATTCTTACGTGGGAATAATTGCATCGCATTTAAACGTTTTTAAGCATTCTCCTGCGCAATATTAAACATTGTCTCGCGACATAAGAGCGTATCTGATACTTAATATTAGTCTTGTGCGTTTCAACGAGCCATACACTTCAGTCTGTTAATCGAATAAGTATTTTTTTTCTTCTCAGGAAAATTGTTCGTTAAAAAAGAGATATGGTATAGTTAAATAATTCCTGTTGAACGATGAGGCGATCAATCGCGAGGGACTATTTAATATTCTAACATCTGAGTCTATATTTTACTCTTTAATACTCTTCGCGAACAAGCGGCTCCGTTCCCTTGGCCTATTCGAGATAAATCGATACTAAACGTAAGATCGTGCACGAACGAGGAAATACGAAATATTCACCGCGGCACAACTCGGCATGATCGAAGATCGACATGATCGAAGATCGACATGATCGAAGATCGACAATCACACAGACTCGACAGTCCTTTACGATTAACAATGATCTTATCTGAAGCGGTGCTCCAGTGAGAGAGCTGGTCCATAGTACTCTTTTGGTCCTATTCTCCGATATTACAATATACATGAGACATCAGCGTCGAAATTCCGTCTTCCGCGTTGACAACGACGTGGATGTGTAACGATAATCCTAGCGCGATCGAATATCATAACTTCATCTCCCACAGGACGATGTGCGCGTCGTTACTATTGGGGTCTTTGAACGCGTACGTTGACTTCGGACTCTTCTCGAGGTTGAACTGCGCGTTCAGTTGCCGCCAATTGATGTAACCACGTCCACCCATCAGAGTCAACACCGTCCGCTTAGGCTGCTCCACCTGTTGCGTCGCTTTATTGTTCTTCTTGCCGTTCGCCTTAACATTACTCGCGGACGTTGTCTCCAATTCCGACTGCGTTACGCTATTGTTAGTTGCGGGGAGGTCGTACGGACCATTTCGACTAGCTGTACTACTGTTGCGCGATAACCTTCCGGTTTTCAGAGACAGATTCTCCTCCGACCCGGAGGACGTATACAAAGAACTCGCGTGGGAATCCACCGACCAGTTGGAGAGATCCAGTGACCTAGGCCTTGTGATTTTCATCTTTAATCTACGATCTAAGGTACTCACTTTATTTGGTATGGCTGCCAATTCCGGATCACTTCTCCTCAACGTTTCGTAAACGGGGTCTATGCCCGAATTGTTCTCGTTCTCGTAGTCCTTCACGTACATCAGTTCACCGTATAGCCCGTAAACATCGCAATTTTCACCGGAACTCTGCGAACTGGACATGGAGCTTGAGAGAAATCCGCAACCGGCGCCTAGTCCCCTCGGAAGTGTCTTCGAGCCTCTGTACTCGTACTCCTTGCTTCGTTTTCTCCTCAGCATTACCGGGCTTCCCGCCAATTGTTGCTTCAGCTTCACGAGATTGCTGCACACAGAAGAGTCTACGCTCGCCCTGTCTCGTAATCTCTGTTCGGCCTCTCTCGCCTTCAGTTGCGCGTTCTCGTCTTCATTGGCGCGATCTTTCGTGGAATACACTGTGTTCTTCGTGTTTTGTATCGCCAGCAGGAAGGTAATCGGTCCGAAATGGGCGTGATACGAAATATTGACGCGACCGCTAATGATGGGCACTCCTTCCAGTCGCGGTAACGGAATGGTCAAGCTGATGCCTACGTTGGTACCGACCCACAATAGACCTTTACACGCTAATAGCGCCGTCACGGTGACAGTTGTTTGATTGTTAATAGCGAAGTTACTATTACTGCTCGTGTTGGGAGTATTGTTCATTTTGGTCACTCTGAGGACATTAGACGCTATGTTGATGTCCTGCAAATGTTTGAACGTTTCCGTGTGATAAAGACAAACCGTACTCGAGTTTTTCAGGGCGACCCAGAGACCGACTCCCGAGTGAGCCATTAACTTCACATTACCGACGTGCTCGTGCTGCGCGCTGAAGCTCTTCGTAATGTCGCCTGAAGTGGCGTTAAGTACCCATACCTTCTTACCGCAAGCGGCATAAATTGACGTGTTGATCGGCATCAAACACGAGACGGGATCGTTACCGAGGGTTATAACGAAGGGATCTTTGAGATTCCATGCACCGTCGATTTGTCGTTTGAACAAAAGTAGCAAGCCTGTACCTAAAGCTACGAAAACATTGTCGCAATGATACTTAATTTCTACTACAGGTCCTAGCACTGGGTAACTGCCGATCTCTTCCTCCTTTTCGGGCTCCGATGCGGCGTAGATTATGATTTTCCGGGAGTCCGTACCCATCCACACGAGATCGTTCGCGAGCACAGCGTGATCGCTGCTGGAGATCCCCTTTACAAACTCGATAGTGCTTACTCTGGTCTCAACCAAATCGAAAGTGGTTATACGTTTTAAACAGGTGGCCGAGGCTGTCGTCGACTGGCCGAAAATTGTTACATGACTGGATATGCCATCACCTGTACATATCCACAAGTAATTCTGATTTCTACCGCGTCGCCTCGTGGGACGCGGGTTTTCAGTGGTGTAATAACAACCGCAACGTACCTGCAAGCATATGTAAATTGTATCATATTAAAACAGGCGCACAACTATAAGTGACAGCGGATGACGCAAGTAACATTTATCAACTTACTTCAGTCTGATGTTGCGAGTGATATACAGCTTGTGAACTAACGAACAATGGCATCTTTGTAGATGGTCTTTGCTCTTGTTCAGGTACTTCCCATGAAGGAGAGTTGTTGGGATCCAAAGCTAATTGTGCCAATCTAAGTTCAGTTATCCAATCCTTCTTTACCAATGGACTTTCTGTTTGAAACGTATACATCTGACCTTGCTTTGTAACTAGTTGCATGCAACAACTGTCGGCCCACACCATATCTTCGTCCTTTTGCTGTATCAACATTTGTATGGATTGCAGAATTTGCTTGGTAGTCTGCAGAGTCATCCCCTGTAAATTTTGAACAGACCATAATCATGTTGCAATTAAAATGCCGTTCAAATATCGTATGCCGTAGTTTTAAGTATTTATATATTCTAAACTTTCTATAAATTGTTTTCAATTTTTTGGAGAAGCAAACATCGATGCCGTTTTTTTCAACATATGTGTTACGATATTTTTTACATTTCTATTGTAAGCTCAAATTAGCATATTTGTTGATTTGTTCTTACCTCATATTTTCCCTTCAACTGGACCACTAAATCACTTATTCTGGACATCACCTCATAATCATGCATAAGATCGTTCATCTCTACACAGAGACTATCCGCATCGGCCGCTTGCCCGCATTCTCCGCTTTTGTCCGATTTCAAGCTGCCGCCCTTATTTAGTCCAGCTGTGAGTAATCGGCTCAAAGTCGGAGAAGTACTGGTATCTTGAATCTGATAAATTATTAATAATGCGGTTAATTTAGTTAATCATTAATAAATTAATAAATGCTTGGTCATTTCATTAGAGAAGATTATAATCAGCAATGAAAGTTGCGTTACGGTACTTTTTTAAGCTTATTTTACACACCTCAATGTCGGATACCGGGTATGTCCATTTTAATGTTAATCGTTCGTTTCCTGAAAAATCCTCCGTGGATCTTGGAGTAACAGAAACGCACACCACCAAGTCGTTCAGTAGCAATAACCTTCTTCTCTTAGATTTTGTAATCATGCCGTTTTGATTAAATTCCTATGTGAAGAAATTGCGCATTACTCTTGTTCGTGTCTTCTTAATATTGTTATACATATATAATATGTAACATATAAGAGTTAAAGATTTTATGTATATTTAAAATTACCAGTTGTGTAACATTATCCTCTCGAATAAGGTAACGTGATGCTGAGGAAAGAGGACGATGCGATAACTTTCCGGAAACGTGTCGCAACATCTCTTTGAACGCTTGGAATTGTTCCGCTTCTCGTTTCCTTTCGTTCAACATCTCCGCTAAACTTTCCAGCTGCGTTAATGCTAATTGCAAAGACATTCTATCGTGATGACCGTGAGGCGTGTGCTTCAATAAATCCTGAACGTAAAATTCGTATAATTTCAAGACTGCCGACAGAAAAACTCGTATTTTCGCACACTATTAACGATACTCACTTGTAAAAACAATATGAACTGTGGAAACCTCTGCACTGGTTTAACCATTAGTCCGAAGAAAGATAATCTATCGTGCGCGCTTATCTGTTTCACCTATAAACGTCAAAAAAATATTTTAATGATGACGAAATCTAGATTTAATCTTACAAAAATATCGTATTACAAAACAACCTTAAAAAAATCAGCAAGCGCGGTCTTTCTCTTCGATTCTTGCTTAGCCAGATCCATCGCAACGGAAAAGTTGTTTATAAAGCCACTGTAAATGTCAAGTACAATAGCTTTGCTGAAACTCGCGACGAACACGTCCCCCAGCTTCTCGTCTTTGTCCCAGGATCGCACACATTCCGCCAGAGCGATTCTAAACAACGTATGACATTGTAGAATCTCGGGTAGTCTGTGAAACAATGTTGCTATTTTCGACTGACTCAATATAGGCGGCGAGGACTCCTCCAGCGGTTTTTTGTAGTCCTGGAATTAAAGCGCATATACACTTGTGTGATTCCCATCACTCGTATTTATTCTATTTCCCATTCATTTTTCCCTTTGATATTCACACGCGATGGAAACTGCGCAGTTCGCAGCGGTACGTACATTCACTAGTCTCTGCAAAGTAGACACGTAACTGTTCTCCGAGTGCACTATCGCCGCCACGATGTGTCTACGTTTCAATTGCTGGGGAGACAAATTCGGGGGTGCCGATGGGAGTGTAGGTGGAGCTTGTCTTCGTTGCTGCATACATTGAAACTGCACCATCGCACTGTTCTCCTCGTCAACCTGAGACACACAGTAACGATTATCCAACAAGTATTCGACAGATATCCAGACAACATTACAACGTGTTAAAAACATCTTTCAGGTGCATATGTTGTCTGGGTGCTTGCATACGGTATGATTGATCGGAATTGCGCTCACTTCGCAAAGCTGCGGCATTTGCGGCGTTTTAATGGGACTGGTTAGAGACACCGTATCCGTGGAGTCCACGTCGTAATGATGCGATGATCCTCTGCGAATGCTGAACCATCTCGAGAGTCGCCCGTGATTACTCGGCGACTCCAAGGGATCCACATTGTTCAGAGGCATATGCTGAAAGCGCCACTTGTCACAGAGTGTGCGCGCCTTGTGCAACGTGTTTCTTAATTGACAGTTGCTTCTGTGAAGGAACGACGAGTTTTTATTACAAACACACCACGCACTTAGTTCACGTTACGTAACGTCATCGAGCCGACTTACTTAATACTGATATTACTCTTCTCGCTTTCATCGTCCGACGACAGATCGTGGTCCGATGCCGAGCACCAGGAGTCCTCACTTCTAGCGGACTGCGTGGAGGTGTTGGACCTGCTCGTCTCCAGAGAGGAATGACGATGCGCGTGCGAGTGTCCACTGGCCGTTTCCATTTTGCCCGGTCCTACGTCATCCCACGATTTGCACCTTGAACGAGGCTCGTCTGAAAGACACACGGCACAAACTCCTTTTAGCATGGATCATTCACGGGAAAAGTCAACCGGTTGTTTCTCACCTCGGAGAAACCGAACAAACAAACTATTTTCGGATCTTACAGGTAAAACGAAACGACTGTACGTTATTATTATTTTATAAAAAACGTCCTTCACATATATTGTTCCATAAAATCATAATGTCAAAAAAATCGTTTCATCGTGTGCCCGAGAAATCCTCAATCACTTATTACACAACCCAATATCTTCACAAATGACTACGAGAGATCGAACACCTACAACAGACTCGCTCACCGATGCAATAGCTCTAGAGAAAAGCGAGCGCTCGTCGCGTCATCGCGAATCACCGATGAATATCTGCGCGCTAATGCGTCACCTTCGGGGACGCGCGACGATTTCCGTGCTTCGCGTCCTCCGCTGGCGATGTAAACGACGCGTCGCGCACGAGCCACGGGCAACACTATTACGAGATGTTAGGAGACCTCCAAATGGAATAACGAGCGCTTCACGAGAAGCGATACGCGCGAGAGTGCTAGAGTCAGTCTCTCGCGCGAAAGCGTCGCTTCCTCACGCGCAGTCATATACATCGCCCGTTTTATTGGACCTTCCGCTGTTGTTGCGCTCACGTTACACCACGGCGCGTTAACGTCGCGACGATAATCGGGTTAATGTGACGTATACCGTTCGTGTTCCGTTCCCACGTTATTGCCGCGTATATGCGAACGGCTGAAGCGCGTTATAAGTTTTCATAGCGCGTACTAATCTCTGTCCAGACGGCGCGTCCAAAAGGCGCCCAAACGACGTTCAAAAGATATCCTACCGGGTTCCAGAGATCTCTTAGATGATAGACGCATTTTACCACGCATTGATTGCCACAAATGATCTACTAATATCGTCGCGTCTCACTACTTTACGTGTAAAAAACGTAACCAACATTATAATTAAGTATAGAACCGACAGAGAGTCAACGAATTGATGTATCGCGAATTGCATTTGTTCACTGTATCTTTGGTGACTCAAACTTGTACTGAGCATTGAAACAATCAATGGAAATCAGCATGGCACACAAACAACGTGTAATAATCTCTGTCCGAGTGAAAAAGCAACGTGTATCGGTATTGAATGCAATAAAAAGTCATCCGTGCTCCAGGCACAATGCAAATGTTGAAAATACATCTTGGAGATATCTAAAAGACGTTTGACACAAGTAGGACGTCTGTTGGACGTTTCTAAAACGGTATTCACATTGTCTGGATGTATCCCGCTTTCAAGTCAGACCGACCAGTCGCGGTGAAGCTTTTGTCCCGCAAAAACAAAGAAATAAAAGACAGCGCTGGTCATTAATCGGAAATGCACCGCGTTCGAGATACCAGCGGCGGCGACGTATAAGGTATCCACAGAGTGGAATCGTAAAACACGTCAGTTCGACGTCAAGGTCGGTTTATCCTGTCGTGACGCGCGAGCGTTATATGTACAATAACAACGAGCCCGGCGGCTGTAAATCGAGAATATAGCCCGGTGGTAATGCTTGGTGTGTACGTACCGCAAATGGGAAAAGGGCCAGCGAGAGGGACGTCAACGATCTCCTCTCGTCGCGCCGAAACGAGGAGAAACTTTGCAACACACGAAAATGGAAAGACGCGCGTCAGCCAGCCGGTGGTGGTGCCTCAAACCACGTCGTCACGCCGCCTACTCATTTTCTACGGTCTACCAACCGGTATTTTCGCGTGGACAAAATCTGTGGACGCGGAGAGAAACACACGGGGACCCCGCCGGATCGAGACTCACTCACGCACGCACCATCGCGTCGCGCGCTCACGCGTGTGAACGGCGGCGCGTCAAGTGGCACATAGAGAGACGTGCACGAGCGCATGTTCAAGCATGCGCACCTACACGTACGCAACGAAATTCAAGGTGGCTGCGGAGCGATTAAAAAAGCGAGACGCGGTGCGTAATAGTCGGACGAGCCGCGTGCGTGCTTCGTACCGATGCACCGATGTTGATCTTTTAACAAATATGTACTTGCAAGGATGCAAAGAGAAAGAGAGAGAGAGAGAGAGAGAGAAAGAGAGGACAGAGAAAGAATGTTCATCGACGTTACTTCGGATTTACTTCGATCTGTTCTCGCGCGCTCTCTCTCGTAGCAGGGACGTACACCGAACGGCTCCGTCATCCACGCTTACCTTTTGCGCAAGTTATTAACGCCGAACGCGCGATTCATTATGTATGCCCGGTTTCAAAATGATTTAAACGCTTTCTTCGCGACACAACCGATGGTCCCATGAGGAAACTTGGCTTTTGGAAATAAAAAAAAAAAACCAAAATGGTCTCACTGAAGACGATCAACCGCGCTCTAAATTGCACTGAAAAAAGTCTTTAAACCATATTGAAATCAAGTGAATTGCTCATATTCTGAACTCACAAGCTACTTTTAGACCCTGTTACTTGAAACTTGTCTTAGATGAGATATTTAGATTTGAACTTGGAATTACATGCGAGTTTTTCAGCTGAGTTACGACAAATGTAATGTCACATATATGATTAAAATAAAAAGAGAAACTCAAATCTAACTTTAAATTCAAATCTGAATAACTTAAATAATTCACGTGGGACAAGTTTCAAGTAAGATTTTCAGATTTGAATTTAGAGTTAGGTGAGAGTCTTCTAATTGAATCATGATTACAGATATAAATGTCACATATATTGTAATTTAATTTAAGTTTTAGCAGAGAACTATTAATATACGAATCTTAGAGACATTTTTAGTAACTAAAAAAGTTCAGAATATGAGACTATCGTCTTATAATTAATGCGCTCTTATCGTTTTCACAGATGCTTATATCGCTTTTGGGGATTAAATCGTTTCAATATTATCAGACGAGTTCTTAATCAGTATCTTAAGCATAATGATGAATGATAATATTGAAGTGTAATTACCGAAAGTCAAATGCTTCAAAATCAATGGATTTTGTTTGATATATATAAAGAAAAAATTACGAGAAATTACTGTGGAATTTTATGCTACGTTTCGCTTGCTTTACGCTGTTACGTTTTCGCGAGAGTGTTAAATTTCAACGTCATAATGATATGATCGTCTATGTACACTAGAAACAATCGAGCCTATCAAAGCTGGAAACGGAGTAACGCACACAGTAATGCGCACACGTGGTGCCCCGCTGACTTTATTTCTAACAACGGAGGAACGGCTCGAGGACTTGCGTCGTCTCGCTCGCATGAGAATGCCACGCTTTTCGTTTCTCTTCTTTTCTCTGTCCGCTCTGTTCGTTCTCTCGTTCGCACGAGCAATGAAAGTGTCGTGCAAGCAAGAGAGTATACGCGTCTTTCGATTAAAATACCAAATGGGACAAGACGGAATTTAAAGTGAAAGTCATTTACGAAAATGACATCTTATGTAATTGTTATTTAAGAAAACAAAATTGATTGAAGCACGATGTCAATGGTTCTCATTCAGATATAAAATGTATTTACAAAATACATGTGTTAGCATGCCCTCGAGTTGTTTTAACAATGTCAACCAGTGTAGACTCGGTCGTTATCGAATCAAAACAGCAGGAATCGAACGAATGAAAACAGCAGAGAGATACATCTCGCGACACATCACGATCGCGTACGAAGTGAACGATCAGTCGACGGAATAAAAAGAGTTACTTCCCGACATTTGTATCTATATTCATCAATTTCCTTTCACTGTTTGGATCGATGCCTTTATGGTGCCTATGCATATGGAGCAGAGCGCAACGTCGCTTTCGTTTGGTTCTCAACCAGGCGAAAAATCATGGGTCCACGTGACATTTCAATAGGCTCGCGAACGAAGAAAAGTGCGCCTACGCATGACTAGGGCTTTCCTTGGTGCATTAAACTCTCGTTATTACATAACATAGACGCAAGTGTAAATATACATATGTGTGTGTATGTATATATAGTACAGAGTGATGTAAAGATAGACGTAACCCAATTTGCGAGAGCTAAGAATCATTCTCTTCGTAGCGAAGTGTATCTTCCGTTACATCGTGTATTATCCGTTACGTAAGTGTACTTCACACCGCATAGATTCAGCATTATTACGATCTAATGTAACGATTATGATCTCCGTAATGGGAAAATCGAGAGCGCAGCGCTCGGGCGCGAACAACGGTGGAGCACCTTTCTTATTTTCAACGTTGCCAGATTCCAGCAACGTTTCGTATTCGCTGTTCTCGCATTTAGCAGCATTCAGCAGCAACGCGGCAATTTTCTATGCCGCGCGACCGCTTACGGATCTAAGCGTCTATTAACCATTAACCGATTGTACATTCTAAACTGCATAAAATTTTCCCCCTCTCTCCTTCTCTCCTTTTTTCCCTCCCTCGTCTCACTCTCTCAATTACAACTGTATATACAGCGAGAATAATGCCCGGTTATCATCCGTCGCCAATATCGACGACCATCGATATGATTGCCGTAATTAATGCAATTATCGTGATTCGATATCCTCACATCAATACGACGAAATGAATCAGGCATTAAACGGATGATCGACGCCATCATCTAGATCAGAAGCGATATCGATACGATCGCGCTATTTGGGCGTTAGTTAAACGCTATTACAAAGATGCGGGACGATTCTTTCGTGCAGTAACAGCCGTCACTATCGAAACTATAATGAACAATGACGCGCATGCGGATACAACTAACGCGTTTATCGCGATACGCTTAACAATTCCGTCATTGGCACTCGTGAATCAGCACGCACATCGCTGCTCCCAATATTGCATTAAGATATCGCGAAATAGCAAGACACTTTGTAACTCGTACAGAATAATATTCTAAAGCCCACACGGCGCACACGGTGCGCGCGCGTTTTGCGCCGCGGGCTTGGCTGATAGTTCTGTTGCGAGCTGCTCCGTGGGTTGCACTGCGTCGCCTCTAAGGTAGCAGTGTCGCTGGTTTTTGCTTCGCACGCATAATTTGCCTCGCGAGCTAGACCGATATCTCCCATATGTTGTATTATTATGCATAACCTCTGTTCCTGACACGTCACGATAAAGACGTGTCTTGTCCTTTTGATCCAGCGTCAAATCACGCGGCGAAAATAGCACCGGTCTTATTTCCAAAAACCAGCACCATGTTAGCACGTGTTTTGCACAACAAAGCATTCTTAAATAATTATGTTGTTCTTGATGCATCGGAATTCTCGCTCAAAGACCAAGAACTCCGCAACGAGCTGTACGGATTTCTGGCTTCTCATTGTTGCAGTGCGATGCGTTTTAAAATAAACTGAACCAACATTCTCTCTCCTTTTTATGCATTTAAAGTAATACCTCTCGCTGAATGACTCTTGATGTTGACAGCTTTATCAATAGATATTTTCCTATGATCCGATATTCACTGGTTGGACTCAACTGCGTTCGTGCATCGGTGAGTATTAGGCTTTAGCTCGGAAAACCGACTGGGCCGATACGAACGTGATTAATCTGTCCTATCTACTTCTCTATTATCTACAATGCTTCGCCGGCACTCAAGCGTAGCCCTGGTAACCAGTGCCGTATGTGTCGGGTGTCGTTGTTAGCTGACTAGCACATAGTCTGTTTAAACTGTTCAATTTCTGTTACTCCGATATTTTCGACGTGAGCACGCGATCACACGCGCGGTTTCCGTCTGGTGACGCCGCGAACCCGACGAGAGATAAGATTACTTACGAGTCCCGCTCGTAAACATTCCGTTCTCACTCTGATCTTTTGGTTCGCGCAGCGACCGACATATAAGCGGCGGCTCGCAACACCTCAATTTAAAGCGTTTCAGAATCAACGTGAACCATGTGATGTTGTTCCGGCGATTTTGTCGTCTATTTCAAAACACGTCGCACAGAAACGAGTTGCAAAATTCTCGCAGTCGATTACACACACGCGAGAAAGGCACAGGTGTGTATAGACGCATTAGTGAGCTGCCAAACGACAAGGTGATGTTACAAAACGAAAGAGAGGAGCATTATCGGTGATGCCACTACTTACATTTGATGAGGACAACCCCATTATGCAGTTCCTCCATCTCGCGGAGGCGAATGTTCCTTGCAGTCGATTTGCTTGCGTAGCTTCTCTCTCTCTCTTTCTGTCTCTGTCCGTCTCCCTCACACATACACATACACACACCGCGCACGCACACACACACACACACACTCTCTCTCTCTCTTTCTCACTTTACCATCACTTTTTGACGTATTCGCAGAAAGCGATCGCGCTGCTAATTCACACGCACGCGTTCGCGCGCGCAGCTCACGCCTACACGTACACACGCGCGCACATGCGTCCCGCGGATGGAGGACGATTACAGGAACGTGACGAGGACGAGGTAAAATCGCATCGTAACACGTGCGCGCACGCGGCCGGCGCGGCCCGGCACACAATTAATAACGCCGCGACATCCAACGATAAAGACGCACCGTGGCCGACGAGGAAGCGACGCAGCGAAACGAGCGAGGAACGAAGCGGCGAGTCAACATGGCCGTGCGCGCGCGTGCTCTGCTCGTTCCCGGTCTCTCCGCGCGCGCCGCGTTGCTCCACGTAGTAGCCGCCATACACTGGAGCCCAGAGGTTGAAGTAAGAAGCGAAGGGCATACGGAGGAAACAGAGAGACGGAGCGAGCAGCGCGCGGAACCGTCAGAGGGAGAGGGAGAGGAAGGAACGCGAGCGACACGAGGGGGTATCCAGCGAGCAACGAGAGAGAAAGTACATGCGATCGAGAGTGAAACACACAATGCTGCCGCTCGGCCGCGCTCGAGCGCAGCTGTGCGAGAGCGAGCGTGCGAGAGAGGAAGAGAGGAAAGTGGAATAGGGGTGGACGGGACGAGAGACGAGAGACAGTGAATGAATATAAAAGAGAGGAAGAGGCGCGGTGCAAACGAACGAGAAGGGATGGAGAGGGAAAAGGAAGGAAGAGGGAGGGGGCAACAGAGAGAGAGAGAGAGAGAGAGAGAGAGAGAGAGAGAAAGAGAGAGGAATATTGCGTAGTTATAATAGGTCTATCCTTTTTAGTTCAGCTAATTTGCACTTTTAAAGTTAAAGTGAAAGAAGTATATGCTGACTGAGCTTTGAAAGGAAAAGGAAGAGAGTTGCAGTACTGCACCGGTGTAGCTAAGAAGAACAGACCTTACGTCGGAATAGTAAGAGTGGTAAAAGAAGATGGGAGATCTCCACCTCGGTGGACCACCAGTGCCGTATTAAGATCTTCGCACACTACACGTAACGTCATCGTAACGTCATCATCACGTCAAGTTACATACCCTATGCACATTGACCATCAACAGACCGTCATCATATTACCGCTGATTGTTACGAGGTCAACCTAGTTTTTATTATTGTCTTGATTGGAGGTCATGGGTTATACTTGAATTTATTTATTTTTTTTAATATTGAGACATTTCCAAGATATAATAATAACTGATTTGACAATAACCATTCTGTTATTTGATAAAGAAAAGGCAAGCAAGAAAAGATTGTTGGATCAGTAGAGAATTTATAATTTCATTACTGTAAAATTTTATTACTGCGTAGGTATGCTAAGAAGTGATATAACAATATGTTTTCATAGCACTTTAGGATACTTTACCAGGTATCTTACTGTAACTGATTAAAAGATAGTCTTGGTAAAGATTCTGCAATAACATGTAAAATATTACTTGCTTGGTTTGTTGTGTATATCCAAAAATCTGTTCTTTTCAATTGCACCTCTTCATACTTTTGCTGCAAACGTTTCATTTTCAGTACGAATTCCTTCCAGTTCCTATATCTGAAGAACGTCGTGGAACTACCGAAAATTCCTGTACTCTCTCTTGCCACTAATCTCAGTTTCCTCGTGTACGAGATTCTGCCCACACATTCTTATGTCGATGCATAAGAGTGAGAAAGGCTTATACGATGTAAGCAAAAGACAAGAGAGGTAAGGACAGAGAGAATGAGGGGAGGGAGCAAAGGAAGGAGGGAGAAACGTTCCACGTGATCTCGCATCTGCTTCTCCATCAAGTGACCCCACGGCTGACCCCTTCCAAGTACCAATAATTAACTCCATTCGCCAAATGCACGCGAGCGCACAGACCGGGTATGAGTACTGAACACTCGCGTTATATCGCGAACAGCGTCCCCATAAAAGAAAGGTTACGCGTACTCGGGCAGTTACGTGTGACAGCGCACTGTGAAAACAGACGATTATGTCTACGAAATGACGAAAATAGCGTAGACACGACACGGCCAACGGCGGATTGCTCTCGTGTTCCATTGTCTATCCGTGCATGTGCTTCTCTCTGAATTATTGCGAAAGTAATCTAGTATCAGAAATAGTTGATCACACTTACCGGTGATTTTGTTGCTGCTGTTGGTTCCTAAAGAATGAAGTTTCTTCCAACCTTTCCAGCCTTTCTTCCATATCATAGCGGCTTTCGTTTTACGTTGAACAATATTTGGTTCCGGACAATTGCCCTTCCCTGCTCCTCTTCTCAAGGATCCCAAGACCGATCTACGGATCATATTCAATCGATTTAACACGGAGAGCAAAATGAGAGGATGCAACGAGTTGTGCGAAACAAGACTGGCGCGCGAGGTTTCGCCAAATCGGAAGTACTTCCTCGTCAATTGCCAAGAGCATGGCCGACGCTGCAATGAACGGATGAGAAAAAAAGAGTCTCTTCGTCAACGTACCTGTAACTCGCACTGGAGCTGCCACTGAAGCCGCTATCCATGTCGCATCCCACGCGCGAGAGGAGATCATCGGCAGGACTGACCGAAGGCAATAATTCTTCGGTGGAAGCGTCGTGAGGTTCCTGCGACACTTGCTCCTCGTTGTTGTCGGACACGGACGGCATCAGCATCGCTTCAACGCTCAAATTGAGCTCCCCAAGCACACGTCGATGTCGCGATTGCACACGACGTACCTCCTCCGCTACGAGCGATCTTCGCGAGCCGCGCAGCGCACGATGGCATTGTTTGCTGGAAGAAATTTATAACAATCATACACACAACGTCGGGAATTTCCAAGTAGTAAGAGAAATGACGGCCCGTTTAGCGACATTCTCCGCGAGGAGAATCAACGTTGACTCGTTCAGAGAATCTATCACGGAAATTAACAGGGCTTAGCTTGTACACGCTAATACTCAACTGCACCAAACGGCTTCACAATTAAATCGAATCGCTCGATATTAATTTTAACGTATACCAAAAATAAACCGAGGAGCAGCAGCGCGATCGATTCGTACGTGCACACGAGTTATCTCTCGTCTCAATGACTTGTGCAGCAGTCGAGGACGCTGGCTGAATAATCCGCGACTTGTTTTCTTATTGTTCCCAACTTAATCGTTATCTCCGACATCCGCTGCAAGACGCATTGAACCGTGGGGAACGATTGCTGAATTGTTGCTCATTTATACTGTAGCGCGCACACTTGTGCATATTAACTGGGAAATTTACTTGGAGATTCGTCGGCCGAATAATACGACGTTTCACTTTCGGCAGAGCTATTTTCAGCAAAGTTTTCACGAAGATACAACTCAGTTTTCTCTTATCGAAGCTCCAAATTATTGTTACACCTTGCGTGTTACGTGATGAATTATCTCATAAATTCTTCACAGGCTGACTCTCGTTTACGCAGGTGAACTCACGATAACAGGCACTCACCTGATTTCTGATATCTCTTCATAAATGTTTTCTTCCGTGCCGTAACAGGTTGTATAAGTGTGTCTCTTCAGCGGATCGGATCTGATTTGCTGCGACTGTTGTTGCGGCTGTCGTAGTTGCTGCTGCTGCTGCTGCTGCTGTTGTTGTTGCTGCTGTTGCTGCTGCTGCTGCTGCTGCGAAAGTACTTCTGTCGAGTACGCGGCATGAAAGTGACTGGCGTCAGGCTGATAATAAGCGTACGAGTAATCCAGAAGAGGATGATGTTGGTGAGAACTCGCGATTGGCGATACCACCGGCGACATTGGTTCCAGCAACGTGGTGCACGACCTCTGCGGGAAAAAACAAAGAGCCCCACATAGTCGCAAGAAGATCAATGCTCAAGCGTCGTTCGTAGCGAAGTGTCGCCAAGCATGAGGCGAATTCACGTCGGACGATTGCACTTGCAAGCTCGAGAGCACAATGAGTAGCCGAGGCACGAGTGTGTTATCGACAACGAGACAATTAACGACTTCGTCAGCTCACTCACCTGAGGTGGTGGGTAAGGAGGAGGTGGGGGAAATTCCAGGTTGACTATTCGCGGCGACGGGACGCCCGATGTCATTCCTGGCCCCCCTAAAGACGAAGCCATGGCACATCGTTCGAGAAACTTGGATCAACTATATGACGATGTGTTTACTCCCTGGCCCCATCCATCGGACTCTTCTGCAATAAAGAAAGAAGACAATCGTTATCATGCGCGACTCGGGCCGGCGCGACGTCGGGAACGTTGTTCTCGGATCTTGTCTCCAAAATTACACGCTGTTATTTCGGTCGTGACGCGTTGCCGAAGTGTTACGAAATATTCATCTTCACGAGAACAGCAGCGGAAGTGCCGTTCTGTGTGTTTATCGTTTGGGCGCTGTAGAAAAAGGCTGCGGGAAGGAAGCAGGGTTCGTTAAGAGCGCCAGATAAGCGTGCCCGCAGTATCTGGCCCGAGAAGGATGCAGGTGTGGGCGAGTTCTATTGTGAACGCTCGCGCTGAGTAAAATTCGATTAATCACACACAATGAGGCTCGAGATAGAATAAAGAGGAAATTATAGCAGGAATAAACTTGACAATTCGACAGATCCTGAGGCAGTCGAAATTAGTTAATAACAAGGTTATTACACAGTGATGTAAACGTGTTGTTAATACGACAATGCACTGTAATCCGCATCTTATATGAAATAAAAATCGATTTCTTCGATTTTCAATTGCAAAATTGTCAAATTCTTACGGAAATATTTCGATATATTTCTGAACATTTTCCGGGACATCTTGCGGGAGAGAGAAAGAGAACACGAGAAATCTGTTTTTTGGCAAAAATTTCCTTATTTTTGTAAAAATATTTTGATATTTTCAAAAATTTCCCGAGCTTGAAATTTACATAAATTAAATCTTTGTTCTTAAATTGCTAAAGCAGTTAATCAATACAACAGTACACAGTATTTGTGTTATACACACACATTGCGGAATGTTTACAAATTTCAAAATTTCTATAACTGGAAACTGAAGAAACGAACTTGGCCCTTTCTCTTCCAAGGCAGATGTCTAAACGCGTAATACGTCCATTATTCGCAAAAACAATTTGTTATAAGATCCGAAATTCAACGCGAAATTCAACGCGACAGCTAAATAAGATCCACAGGGCAATCATCTTTACCCTTTTGCAACGCAAGCAATTATAATGGGAGATAAGTGATTAAGAACGCGAAACTGGATGAATAGCACAGTTGAGTATCCGTTTAACTCGAGATATGTAGACTCGACGTGATTCCTTTGCGACACCAACATCTTTTACTTGACTTGAAGAAGCTGAAGCTACATCTTCGGAAAATTAACTTTGCGACGTGAAACTTTCGTATTTTTTGCAGCTTATTCGTTAATTGATATTCATTTTTCTAATACACTCAGAATTATATAAATTTTTTCACAGGATATCGAATGCGTCTCGAAATGTATAAAAAAATTAAGTGTTGAAAATTCCTTCCATATATGTTATATTACAAATTTTCGAATGTATGATATATTACGATTGAACCGTTGATCATTAACCGTCATTTTCATACATTCTCATTTGTGTATCCTTACTCGATCACAGATTGCGTCGATTTCTCTAAAATTAATCAAGATTGGCCAATTTGAAAATGTAGACTTTCGCGTATATCAGGCCAATATATTCATAGATTTTATATTTAAGATCCTAAGTTCATCTACAGATACTGTACGGACCGTTTCATTGGCTATGGAGTATCTGAAGGTGAACTCAAGACGGCTTAAATATAAGACTTGACTATGAATACCGGCCTATGAATACAGAGCCTACCATTGTCTAGCGATAACGGAGGGAACGAGCGAAATTTCAAGCAAAAAAATACACATCGGTCGACTGGTCTCGGTCAATTGATCGCGCCAAGTCGCGATCCACGAGGTATCAAGAGCGCATGTTCACAGGCCTGCTGACAATTAGACAATTAGACAAATTACCTCGTATAGGTGTGAAAGAGAGAGAGAGAAAGAGAGAGACACAACTACACTATACACAGCGACGACACACGCCGTTCCTCCGATCTTACGCGCGTCCAAATATTTTCTCTCTCCGGCGGCGAGCGCGGTCCGTCCTATCCTCCGGAATCGCTGAGAAGATACAGACACAGAGAAAGGTCTTGCTTGATTACCAGCGCGCGCGAGTTCGCTGCGAAGTGGCCGGCCGGGCCACACACGAGCCACAGGAACGATTCGTTTGCGCCTCGTGCTTAGATAGTTTCGCGTTCGCTCATTGTTGTATGTGAGCAAGCACGCCCCCTTGAGAAGCCAGTCGCGGCCGGTCGACCGGTCGACCGAGAAAAGCCTGTGGAGAGCAAGAGAGAGAGAAAGAGAGAAAGAGAGAAAGGAGAAGAGGAGAAAGAGGGGGCGGAGGGAGGCAAAGAGAAGGGACGAGATCGTAGGGAGGAGAGACAGAAAGAGAGAGGAGAGAGAGAGGGGGGAGGGTGAGGGCGAAGGCGACGACGACGACGACACAAAACCTCCCGAATGCTACGACCGACGCTGGGATCGTGCGATTCACGCGATCACAATAGACACGTTTGTTTCAGCCGCACCTTCGCGCTCAGGTCGCGCTCGCTCTTCCACCCTCGAGCGGCCACACGCGCGTCTGCTTCACTTGAGAGGCAAAAAGCGCCGGGGAATGCAAAACAAACGGATGCAACATTATATCACTGCGCACACATTCTGTATCCACGGTGAACGCACTCGCGCACGCGTGTGTGTTGTGTTATATCTCCGATCTATGGGATTCCGAATGATCAAAAAATTCTGATGGCTATCTCGGTCGGTAAACGACATTGATGTGCGGTCGACGGGATAACGAGAGAAACAAAAGAAATTGAAAGAGAAAACGTTATGTTCGTGCGGTCAGCGACAAAGCGATCGCGAGATCCTCCGGTCGATGGGATTCACGGCGCACGCACACTCGCGGGACCACGAAAACGCGCTCGCTTTCGAAAACGTCCACTCTTCGCGTGAGGCATGCACAACAAAAGCGTCCCGCTACGAACCCGTGAGGCTGCCGCCGGTCTTCGGACTCGACTAGATTCCTCTCCTACCAATCCGTAGTACCGGTCCCGTGCTGACCCTCTCGGAGTTGACAATGTATGAGTGCGAGTATACAGACATACTAGAGAGAGAGCGCGACGATACCGTGCTCCTTTAGGTGCGCGCGTGATTACTTCTTAGATGGCGCCACGACGACTCAGCGAGTGCTGCTCCGACTCGCGAGTCTGTTCTTTTTAGCTGCGTCTTCTGCACCTGTTGCGGCTCTTCCAATTGTCTCTCGACGAACTTCAGTCATCTCTCGTAATTCGAGCTCTCGCTATTCAAATTTTCGATAAGCTTCTTTCTTACTTCTCTTACTTCTCAAGAATGCTGTTCTTATTATCGTCTAATGCGCGCCAACACCGCTTCTACTTTGTCAAACATGTTAATCCAATTTTTAACTCATCTCTGTCTTAAGTCTTTTTCAGTTTCGAATGATGCCGCACACAAACGGAAAAAAATTTATAGATTAACATTCAGTTGCTCAATATGGAAGTTTCCGACTAAAGTCTATTAATGATGACGTTATTGCGTTTCAGACGCAATCGGGCTATTATCACTCGGACGATAAGAAGAAATTTAATAATTAATCAGGTTTCTTATCTCAGTGATACGGAATCCTCACCGTGCTCGTGCGTTATTTATAGTCGAGCATTCAGAACTACATCTTCGCTCTACAGCGAGAACATACAGATTATTTGGAAGGATAATGTTGGAAAATGTGGACGTGGATCGCGCGTGGCGACGATACGCCTTGTATAAGCAGCCACCAAAGGAGATACTACGACCATTCTCATTGCCGGAAAAGACTTTGACGGGTCCCGGTCCCAGCAACTGTTCGGATCGAGTTCTCGATGTTCTCAGTCGACAAGTGCTTGGTCACCTTCACCCCGAGATATGCCAGGTATTTCCGGAGCTCGCTTTGTGGTTTTTCGATAATCAAATATTACAAATATCATTCTATAATTAGCGGCGTTAAGAAAAGAATATATCTGCACGCTCCGTTCCTTCTCTAACAATTTTGTGCAGACAAGAGAAATATATATTGCTGCGCGCAGTATTTCCACTTGGAATATATCGTCTTTTCGTCTTATCAATGCAGCAAATAAAATACTTGTTAATGATATTTTCATCAGATGATTCTTGAAATAGATAGAATATATATGCCAGTATTTCTTTGAAACTGGTGAATATATTATACTTACAAGCTTATTAATAATCTCACAACGATTCACACAAATCAGTCGATCGATTTAAAGTAGCAAAGGTTTCTTTTCGCAGTTGATGAATGAAATCAAAGCGGGGCTACAGTATGCGTTTCAAACTAGGAATAGACTCACTCTGGCATTGAGCACATCCGGACATGGCGGGATGGAGGCTTGCTTGGGAAATTTGCTCGAATGCAACGATACCGTGCTGATTGCTAAATGCGGCATTTGGGGAGAACGAGCGGCGGATATGGCTGATCGTATTGGCGCGAAGGTACGAAGCTATGAAAGAAGCTGTGGGATGATTATCGAAGTTTTACGAGTTGTTTCATGAAAAAAAACAGAGAAATCGCGTAATACGAGAGTAACTCACTCGTTTTCCTTTCTTTGAACATTGACATTTCAGGTAGAATTTCTGGAGACCAAACACGGCATGGCTTTCGAACTGAACGACTTGGAGGTGGCTTTGAAGAAATATCGACCAGCAGTTGTGTTTGTTACTCATGCAGAATCGTCGACGGGTATGAAGCAACCTCTGGAAGGTGTTGGGGAACTCGTTCACAAGTAATACATACTTTAAAATATACATAGAGAAAATGTTGTAGTACAAATTATGTCAAATGTTGTAGTACAAATTATATTTCTTTTCACGATGTTTTTTATAAAGTTGAATTATGCTGAAATTGTAGTGTAAATTACTATAGAAATTGTAAATTTAGCAATCTATCTGGTACTCGATATAAAAAAGCATTCAATTACAATAATTTTGCAGTAAAAAGTCAAACGTATATAACATTTTTTAACAAATATATAGTAATTTTAGTATGTGGTCTGAGACTACGAAAATTTTGTTACATTTTTTACTGCAATATTTTCTCCATATAACTGAAAGATAAAATTTTTCTTTCGTTTATTATCAATAAACAGCTACGATGCTTTGCTGATTGTCGACACTGTGGCGTCACTGGGTGGAGAACCGTTTTTCATGGACGCCTGGCAAGTGGACGCGACTTACACTGGTAGCCAAAAAGTCCTCGGCGCTCCTCCAGGAATAACGCCTGTTTCCTTCAGCCCGCGCGCAGAGTGCGTATAATAAAGCGTCGAATGATCCCACGAGTGGGTCTTTATCCTTTGGAACAATCGTAACGCGCAGTTACTACTGAGAATGCCGCGACCAAGGATGGGCTATTACATATATGTACAGAATGTCAATCGAATTCGTGAGTCATCATTGCGGTCTCTCAGAGGTGGTCACCTATTCGGTTCCCAGGTGAATCATATATATATCCGTCTAAAGCTCAGAGAGAATTCTTGAACGATGACATTTGCTACTTTGTTGGTCGTTCCAGAATCGAAGAGCTTCTCTTCGAATTATTTCTCCTATCAGATTCATATCCTAAAAGAAAAGGATATCATATGTTACGGGAGCTACAGAGAATTTCATAATACACAATTCCCACTTCTTAACTATATGGACTTTAGCCTGTTTGAGCGGGAATAAGAGTTTCACATATTAATTATTAATTCAAAATTTTAGTAATGATCAACTCCGGGTAGTAGAAACTTCTAAAAAATAACCTATTTTCATCAGACTTCTTTTAAGCAACTTTTAGATATTTTTAAGCTTCTTTTAGAAGTTTCTGCTATCTGAGACTGAACATTCAGTACATTTGTTTTTCTGAAATATCTCTATTCTCACCACAGCTTGCACATTGCAATTTTTATTGATCACACTTTCTTCTCAGTCTAAGCATCCTATGTAGAAGTATGTGATGGTTGAGTATCACATTGTGTCGTGTCGCAGGAGTAAGTTATTCCGGCGAAAGACGAAGCCATCTGCTTTTTACTGGGACATGAGAATACTCGGGGATTATTGGGACTGCTTCGGCAGACAACGCGTGTATCATCACACAATAAGTGCCACGCTGATATACGGCTTGAGGATGGCCCTGACACAGCTTGCCGAGGAAGGACTGTCCGCTTCTTGGACCAGACACGCGGCGGCCGCCGCTAGACTTAAACAGGGCCTTCGATCACGCGGTCTGCAATGTTACGTCGAAAATCCGCGCTATCAATTGTCGACTATTATTTCGATAAAGTTACCAATCGGCATCGATGACAAGATCATAGCAGCGCGAGCTATGGAACGGTGAGTTCTTCCCTCAACAGTTGTTCTTTTTTCTTCCTGTGCTTTTGAAATTGTCGTGCTTGCTTATAATCTTGGATTTCTTTCCAGGTTTAAAGTCGAAATTAGCGGTGGTCTGGGACCAACAGTTGGTAAGATCCTGCGTGTCGGATTGATGGGAATCAACGCGCAATCTCATGTCGTCGATCTTGTGCTTCGCGCCCTCGACGAAGGACTGAAACATGCCGTTATAGCGAAAATATAGAAGATTCACTATTGCAATCTTATTATCGATAATTGGAACGCATCGAAGTAGAATGTGGTTACAATTATTATAGATTTAGAACATTGTAGGGACAATACTATTTTACTGCTCACAGACACACACACACATACACACAATAATAATCGTAATAATAATAACAATTTTTTAATTAATAAATTGTTTTGGCACAGTACAGAATAGCATCGATTCCATTCTCTACAGAAACTTTCAAAGTGCGCGTGTCACATGCTTCTCTCAGCGAAGGGGGTTTTCATGTAGAAATACAAAAGATTTATTTAAAATCATGGTATCGTGTGTATATACAAGATCCGAAAATTTGTACGAAGTCACGGTATACAGATAAATTAGATCAAATTAAACAAAAAATTTCTCTATGTTGCAAACAACCACGTAAAATTTTAAGTTATTAATTAAGAAAGATTGTTGAGTGATTGTGCGCAATGCGATATATGAGTTATGATGATGACGCTTGTGTACTTGCAGATTTAATTAAACTGAGGAAAAGAGTCCTCTACCATTTTACAAATAACACATAGATTTTGGAATTATAATTAAAAAAAACTACGTGTTATTTGTGCAATAGTAGAGGGCTTTTTTGTTCAGTTTGACCCAATCTACAAGTATAACGCGCGATTATTTAGCAATTTTTTTCAATTAATAACTCAAGATTTTATGTGATTGTTCGTAAAATGGTACAGAATTTTCGTGTTTAGTAAATTGTGTTTAGACTTAAACTATCTGTATATCAGGACTTCGTATCGAATTATCGGACACCGTGTATATGTATATACGATGTCGCATTACCGCACCGCAACAGAACACTTTTTTCAAACTTGTGATTATCGCGACAAAATATTTTAGCGTAACGCAATAGAATGTAATTTGTTCCATGAAATATCTCTAGCAACGTTCGCTTTTCGCCGCGCGTTTTTCTCTTTTACTATTTTATTAATTGATCACTAAGCTCTCTCCCTCGCTCGCTCTCTCTTTTTCTCTCTAGATAACGACGACTCTTCCTTTCATGCGATGCAAAGTTACGTATACACTGCTCATCTCTTTACATTTTTTTTTTTTATGTTAACTGCCCCGGTAAATTTTATCAAATATAGACACTAAGCTCCACACATATCCCTGGAGCCCTCGAATTTCTATTCAAGTGTACATATATAAGCGTTACGGAGACCGCACCGATAATCGGTATAATACGCATGTAGTACGCCGATAAACCTTACTAAATAAAAGAGCATATATACATGAAGCATGTCAGAATAAGAGCATGCTGCTTAATTAAATAGTTAATATTAACTCGTCTGTCTAAATAAGACCGATCACTTATACATGCGGATGACTTTAAATAATCATGACGATAATAATAATCGACAGTAAACAATAACATGCGCGGGGATTTAGAATGGCACTGAAAGCACGCACGCACGCAACCTATGATTCAATGTCACCGAAGGTGAAATGACCGAAGACGAGCTTAGGACACCTCAAATCTCTTGTCGAAGTATTTCGAGCTCATGCATTCGGTCATTTGATCTTTAGTGATCTTGAGCCATGGATCTTCATATTCACCATAAAAAGGGCTACAAACGTAAATGTTTAAGAAGCTATGATTCAATGTGAAAAATTCAGATTGACCTTCATGTGGTTTTCACCCATGATGAAACTATTACCGCTATATAACGTAGTCCTCGAAACCGTAAGATTCTCTAGTTCTGTTTCCCTTTCTGTTATTTAAAATAGCAAAAACATTTCACAAGTATAGACAGAGTTAGCGTCTCACTTGATATACAGGGTGAAAAATAAAATTAATTCGCGCGGACCATGTACGATAATTCTTATGAAAATTTCAGTCAAGAAGTTTTGAGTCATCTTTTCCGCGAAGCTTAGTAAAATATTAACTCTAATCGGACTCCAGCGAACACACGCCGCTGAAATATCGTAGTTTTGGGAACACCCTGTATATGCGTAATATATAAATATTACACTACAATAATTAATGTAAGTGTTGCTAGGATAAGATCGATTTCGACCGCTTAATCATACACGTGTATATACAAATCATTCACATACTCAACGCTAACATCACTGACTACGATGCATATTCATACGATAAGGCACTTATGGGGTACACGGAGAATCAACTCCTTCATATAAAACACATTATGTCGAATAAGATAATGTTAAGGCATATATGTCGCCTGACATGTTCCGTAAATATCTTTATTCTAAATTAAACGCTATTTCCAAGTTGAAGGTTTGAAAAGAGAGAGGTGGAGGTATCGACAGCTGTGCAAGTTCCTTCGCCAGTCAGCAGTCCTTGAGTTTCTGTTATTACTATTATTGTTATTTGGATTATATACTATCATTGTCTCGGGGATACTGCCCGATAAATTGCCGATGAAGTTTACAAAATTCAGAGTGGTGATATGTGAGACGGAGGATTACAATATATAAAATTGAGAAACAGCCGGGGGTTAGCTTATTGTCAAGTTTCGCTTTCGTATACTCCTAAAACTTACAACAGAATAGTGATACATGTGTATGCGTATATAAACGAGAAATATAATTAGGTAAGTATATGGCAAATCTCCTGTACCAGCTTCTACAAATTTCACCGAGTCATTATAGGTGATGAGCTTCGATAATTTTGATCACTTCAGAAAGTGAGTTACAAATTCATCAAGAGATCTCAATGATACACGATTTCGTATCGACCGACGTTATTGCGTAGCCGATTATTATCGAGTTATCAGAGAAACATAGAAAATTATTTCACTTGTCGAGGCTCTCGAACAGTCCGATCGAAGAAAGATATGTATATTCCTAATAATAAATACAACTTAAATATTATAAGAACATAGCTACCGATAACGATTATTATTGCTGCTTATTCGGACGTAGAATAATAACGTTGCTATATTTCTCGTTGAAGGGGTCACGCAGATATTACGCGTAGAGAACGTAAATATAACTCTTACCAACGAAAATTTAGATTAACTGTAACAATCGCTATATGGGATAATAAAAGTGACGTAGCAATAGCGATATGCAATAATACCAATTATATAACGACACTAATCGTACTAGAGATCTAGTAGAGCAGTTATAATACTATTAATACAAATGAGATAGTGAAAATAAAATAATAATCATAATAAGTTGAAAGTTATTAGTAAACATTAGCAATCGTGCGTAATAACTGATATCGCCTTCGGAGGTTCTTCAGTCTTCTTTGGTTGCTGGGTAACTCGAAGAGATTAGTGGTTATAGTAGGGCACTGTGATACCGCCACGACTAAAAACTCGTTTCCTCCCGAGTTTTCACCCTTCGTTTTCGCATTGGCATTCCGTTACCGTAACGTATGTCACTAATCGCGAAGAGAGTAGAAGGGCGCTCGGTTTCCGTTCCGTTTGTCCGTTGATGAGGATCAATTGACTAATAAGCGTCTGGCTGCGGGTGCTGGAGCCCCTCTTTTCTCGCTCTCTTTCTCTCTCCTCTCTCTCTTTCTCTGTCTAAGAGCGAACGACCGAGCGGTCGTGGAGGATAAGAATAGCATCAGATGATGTACCGTCCACGTCCTTCCTCTTATTACACTAGCGTTCTCTCAGCTTCCTGTACGCACATGCGCACGCGTAAGCGTTCGCTGACTTTTGCCGACAACGAACTTTGAGCAACGAACGCAATCCAACTGTCGTTAAAATTACTAATCTCGTCATCGAACACTCTCCAAGTGCTCTCGTGTTATTCCTCTTCGTTCAGTGAAATGCGACAAACGCGTCTCGCGTCGAGCTGACCTCGCCGTGGATTCTTCTTCTCGCCTCTCGTTCATCTTCTTGACTCTTCCGCTATGAAAACGCCACTGTGACCGCCCGCAAATCTGCGTACAAACGGTCATTTATAACGGAACACGCGCAAACAGATAGTCGGCTGCTAAGCTATTACATTATTGCATAAGGACAACACTTGGGTTTATTCTGTTACCATAACGACGAAAACAAAATTGTCATGAGACAGGTTTGTCTGATTGTTATATACGGCGACAAAACGACAGCGCAAACTCTAGGTCTGTGATTTGCTGTGGCTGCACTAAG